TTGTAAAATGGAATTTAAAGCCAGCCTGTAATCCTAAACAGGGTTACTTGAAACAGGGTTGGGGAAGGCTTTCCAAAAGTACGTGCCATTCATTGAGTTCGTTTCCTCTACTGGGGTAACCTTTGTTGGGCTTTTGACGTGTGTGATATATTCAGACTCAACATAGCTACTCCCTCCACCCCACGAATTTCCACTGAAATTAATAGGACCTTTTTTTTAAAGTGTAAAAATAGCTCACTAGCGTAAAATATATGGGTGCTTTAATTTCAGAAAGCCTGCGTTAGGGACAAAGGCATGTGTCTGACCCCCTTGCAATCTTTCTCTTCCTTCTCTTTCCCATCTTTATTTTCTGGTGTCTCTGTGTTGCTCGCGGGCATAACAAGCCTGATAAACTTGAAGCGGGCGGGGGGGGGATAAGATTAGTGCCAGCCCTCCGTCTGTGATCCAAAAGAAGAGTAGCACTGTGGTTTACACCGACTGGAGAGTGGGGGTGGCTCTCAGATATGTGCAGGGGGGCGTCGAAATGGGGCTGGGGGAGGCAAGGTAGAAACAGTGGGCAAGGGGGAATGGAGGAGGACGCTTTCTTCCGGGCAAGTGACGCCTCCCGGGCCCTCCTGGTGCATGCTCGGTGGAAACACCAAAACTAACCGCCGAGCCCCGTGGCTCCGTCCTGCCCCTTCCTTTCTTTTCCCCTGGCTGGCTCCCCTCTCCTCCCCTCCCGTGGGGCACCTGGGCTCCCGCCGGGTAGGAGCCCTTAGCCGCGCCCCCCCCCAGCATCCCTTGGCTCCCCCGCCCTCCCCCGGGCTGGCCAGAAGGGCAGGGGAGCGAGCCGGGGCAGCGAACCCTTCTGGTGCGCGGCACTGCCTTCTTTGGAAACTTCTCGAACAAAGCGGCCAATCTGGGGAGGGGAGGAAGGGAGAGGGTGGGGGCAGAAACTCCCCAGCCCTTTCTCCCGGCTCAGAGAGGAGGAAGGCCGGGAAAAAGCACCAGTGTGGGGAAGGCTCGCTTGCTCGCTCGCTCTGCCGCCCCGCTAGGCCGGCTCGTCCTTCTCCTCTTCCTCCTCCTCCTCCGCCACAGTCAGTCGCCATTACACGGCAAAACAAAGCACACACCCGCGTTGGGGATGTGCGGGAGCGCTGGCGTGGTGGAGACTGATTAAAAGAAGCCTCTCGCTCGGAACGGGAAGGGGA